TGGCCACCGGTCCATGAGGACAAAGGGAGCAGAAGCGACGAGCAGGGTCAGCACGGCCAGTGAGCACAATGAAAGAAAGCCCTTCCAGGGAGGCAGATTTAGTGATACACCTCCATTTATTCAGTGGGGGTTAGGGAAAATATAGTGTGGAGGCAGCAGCCAAAACCTCAGCTGACAGGTGCTCATAGTATGCTTTATTTACATGTGGTAGAGGGATCCTATCATCTGACTATAGGGCAATGCCTAATTATCATATGGAAAAAACCTGGGAGTAGTTTTATTGCAGGTAACTATGCCAAAGGTCATGTTCCAAATAAGATCAGGCATCCATGCTTGGTGGCACTTTTCAGGTAAGTCAGGCAGAGAATAGGAGGCCCCCGCTGAGAAAGGGGATCCTTCCATATAGCGCTGAGCCCCTTAGAGCTATCCAGACATGGAGGACTACAACCTTAGCAGCAGGGTCCCCCAACAAGAAGTGATCTTATTTTCAAACTTTATAAACCCTGGATCCTAATTTGTATGTACTCTATGTTCTTACTGCAAACTAAATGACTTCTTTGTCAGCTCATCTGTATCTGGACCTTAAAAATACACAGCTGGAAGAAAACAGTTGACACTTGACATTCCTCCTGGACATCTTAGCCAGACCATCAATTCATTAGTTACATTTTCTGGGTTTTGCATTACATGGACATCAGTTTTACTAACCCTTTCCACCCCTACCCAACAAGGATCAATGCCCTCCATGGTCTTCTTCTTTAACTCATTGTCCACAGCCCTCTAGCCCCTGCAGGCTGACTTCCCCCTTCCATCCTCAAATTAAAGTCATGTGTTTTAGGCTTTGTTACAATACAGCTTCACTTTCAGATACCAGATTTGGATCTAGGTTTCTCTCACCATGTAAACATCTGTGCCAAACCTAGTGGCATCTACCAAGAGCTGTGTTCTTATGCCCACAGAATTCTATGGGTCAGGATCAGGAATTGGAACAGAATGCAGAGGGAACAACTTGCCTTTCCTCTATGATGTATGTACTTTAGAATATTTGAACAACCAATGAAACTTGAATAGCTGAGATGACTGACTAGAAGCAGGAAGGAATCTGGAAGTTTCTTCACTCTGAGGCTGGAAGTCATTCAAGGCCTGAGATCAGTTGGGATGAGAGGCCACTGTATTTATATATGAATTTTTTATTTTTTATAATTCCTTCCTTTAAAATGTTTTTTTTGTTTTGTTTTGATTATATGGTTTTTCGTTTTGTTTGTTTGATTGTTGTTTTCCTAGTGAAAACTTTCTTCAAATGATAACACAGAAATTCACTGACACATGTAAACCAGCAGGAACATAAATTGTTCTGGAGCCCCAGAAGCAACAGTGGCACATGCCACAAGAGTCAAAAGTTCCAAAGTATGGACAGTGAAACGTATGTCTTTCTCGATGTACCCTCAGCCACACACATCTCTTCCAGAAGCACTGTTGTTGCTCTCTTAAGTACAGAGATGGTCTCTGCATTTGCAAATCTTTGTAAATATTTATACACAAGCATCTGTTCTAGTATTACCACAAAACAGTATGCACATCACACTAGGTTGCTGTGGGGTGTGTGTGTGTGTGTGTACATGCCTGTGCATGCAAGTGTGCTTACCTATGCAGACACATGTGCAGGTCAGAGGTTGGTGTCAGAATGTCTTCCTCAATCACTTATCCACCTTATTTTATATTATTATTATTATTATTATCATCATCATCATCATCATCATCATTTTGTGTATGTGTGCGTGTGTGTCTGTCTGTCTGTCTGATACTTGAGGGAAAGTTGCCTGCATGAGCCCCAGCACAATTATGGAGCTCAGAGGACAACTTTAGTGGAGTTGGTTCTCTCCTTCCATCTTTATATGGGTTCCAGGAATCAAACCCAGGTGGTCAGGCTTGTCCAGCAAGCGCTGAGCCATCTCATTGACCCTCCACCTCATTTTTAAAGACAGTCACCCACTGAACCTGGAGCTCATAGTTTTGGCTACCCTGGTTGGTCAGGAAGGCCCTGAGATCTGCCTCCCTTGGCCTCCCAGGGTTATAGGCTGTCACAGTCATGCTCAACTTTTTATATGGGTGCTAGGGATCTGAACTCAGATCCTCGTGTTTGTGGAGCAAGTGCTTTACCCACTATGCCATCTCCAAAGATTACTTTGTTAGAGCCACATGTTAAGTAGTTTAACAGAAATTGCTTTGTTTAAAAATTATATTTTGTAACGACCTCTCCAGATCCACACAGTTGTGACTTATTTATTCTTTTTTCATGGCTGCACACTACTCCAACACCATATATATGAAGAAATCTCATTATGATTTACTTATCAGGAAGTGACCTAGTGTCTTCTACTTATTAATATTTGGGTTATTTCCTGTTTGTTTTGCTATTTCAAACAAGTACATGTATTTACACGTATTTTCAAGTACTTCAGGATGGTACCCTGAACTCAAAGGAGATATGCATGGTAAATTTTGACTGATACTTCTACCCTGCCCTGCACCGGGGTTGTGTCATTTCACACTCCTGTGAGTAACACAGGCGAGGACTGTTTTCTCCACTCCCATCAACAGTATGGTAGCAAACTGAAAAATGGCATGCCACTGTGATTTCAACATCTTTTTGTTAAGAATGAAACTCATCATCCAGTGTTGTTTAATTAAATACTTTTAAAATTCAATTCCGTAATGACAATTATGAAACAAACTAGAAATTCTACATCCACTGGACATTATGGATCTTTTAAAGCTTTAGCAATACTGTGATTTTTGTTTTAAAAGAGCCGTTATTTTTTATAAATTCCTACTGAAATATTTATTGATTAATTTACTGTCTATTTTTGTGGATGTTTGAAATCTTCTATAAAATTTAGGAAATCAGCAGTTAAGCATTAAGTTTGTACAATGGTTGCTGCTTATTTGTGATTTTACTCCCAGTGGGTTAGATACCATCTACTATGGTCCAAATTAGCTAGAGTACAATAACATATTTTGAAGGAGAGAAAGAGACAAGACCATAATCACCCAACCTTTGTTGCAATATTTTGGCAAAAGCTGTCCTATTTTATTATCAGTTTATTGTCATTAATCTTCTACTTTACCTAACTTTAAATTAAACTTTATCATAGTTATGTGTGGATAGGTAAAGAGAGAGACAGATAGAGGTCAGTACTGTCCATGGTTTAAAATTTTGGGGATAAATTCCCCCATGGATAGGAGGAAGTCACTATAGTTACTATAGTAAGCCCAGGTCATTGTGCTTCATGAAAGCAAGGTCTATGTCTGCTTATTCTCTCTGGTGTTCCCAGTACCTGGGGATGCCTCACTCACACAATAGAAGCTGCAAGCACACATCTCCAAGTCCAGCCCACCCAGCCCTTCCCAGAGGCTGCTCTGGTTTCTGTTCTCAAAGCAGCAGACCAGGTGCTCTGGCTTGAAGGAAGTCATGATGGTACTTCCTGAGTCTAGGGGAGTTGGCAGTGGGATGCCTGAGACCATTGTCTGACTCAGGAGAATATCTCTAAGCAAAATGAAATGGCCCCTTAACAGGAATCATTTCTTTCAGGAGACTATTAGAAAATTATAAACCACTAGAGAGGAAACTCAAAAAGGTTGCAGGGCAGTCACCAAACTTGGAATGTAACGGGTCCTCTTACGCCTTCTCCAAGCCTATTTCATTTAGAACAAATCAACTGGATGCCCAGAATGCCTTCCCATGAAAAAAAACAAAAAAACAAAAAAAACCGGGGGGGTGGGGGTAGATGATAGTATAAGAAAGAGGAGAATAAGAATTGGGAAGGTATCAAAGGGAATGGGGGAATGGCAGTAATTCAGGGTGACCTGCTGGCCCTGTGGGATTGTTTGTGATTAGCTCAGAGACAGGGAAGAATTACCATCGTATTATTTGCATGCACGTGCTAGTATAGTTGCCTTCTAACTGGAAGGAAAAAATAAGGAAAAAAGCTAGTCATATCTTGAGTAGAAGTCTCTTTTGAGAAAGTATCAATGTGACACCATTCAAATCATTCAAATGGGCCAGATGGTTGACAGAATACCACATGCCACCAGCTGCCCATTGCTACAGATGATTCTTTTCTGCTGGTGTTTGTGCAACCACAGTGCAGGATGCTGATTCTTTTGATGCTGTTTAACACTTAACATGTCACCATAATTATAAACCATAAATATACATGATATCACACAATCAATAAGCACTCACATTCCATTCTTTGTAAATGCCCCACCTCTCTAGCTCATATTCCCCAACTCTTATCCCTTCCACACAGCACAGACTCCTGGGGCTAATAATATATATTGCCAAGCTCCAAGTTTCAGAGCATGCCTGGACCAAAAGCCAGGGGAAGACAATTCAGGAGCATCTAAATTAAGCCAAAGAATGTTATTTGACAACATACCAAAAGTACTTTGGGGGTCACCTAGCAGGCAGGTGTACCGTGTAAAAGGAAGTAGGTAAATGGAAACGAATCAGCTTCTTTCAAAAAGACAATTTCAAGAGCTGCTGCATTTCTTTTGGCTCTGAAAGAGACTGATTCAGTGGCATTCACCTTTAAAGCAGGTGACACAGTTACTGGTATCTGCATCTGTAAAGACTAAGTGCCGGCTCTCTGGACAAAAAGCCAGCCTATGTATGTGGGATAGGGAGAGGTGCAGAAGTGGAGAGAGGTAAGAATCAGCCTCATTCTCTCTTCATGAATGCATTAAGTGTAAATGAAGTGGCTGGGTGGAGCCATGCCCTGGGCAGGGGGCACATCAGTCTCACCCAGAAAGCCCTATCCCGAATCCCACATTTTTAGTTTAAACCCAGGACCCAAGAGAACATGCTTTGTGACTCTATAAATATGAATCTCAGAGGCTCCCTAACACCCAGTGTTTCTGCTTTTTTAACATGTAAATAACTGAATGCTCTAGATGAGTAAATAGCTGTATGCTGAGTTTACAATCTTTTCTTGCAGAAATACCGACAGTATATGGCAGGACTTCTGGCTCCTCCTTATGGTGTTATGGAAACGGGCTCTAACAATGACAGTAAGTGAAATGTGAACATTCTGTATGTGCAAATTTGTTCTGTGATGTGTTTTCATGTGACAAAAAATGTCGTACATCAGTTTGACAGAGAAAGCCTGCAGATGCTTTTGTGGGCAAACAGATTGGAGACTCACACTTGGGATGTTGAAAAGGTGGTCCATGCAGTGTTGTATGGAGTCTTAGCTAGTAGAGGGTAGCTGGTTCTGGTGCCGTCTGGGACCTCCATGTGCTTGGAATGCTGCCAGGTTGTTTTTGTGCCCTTTTAAAAATGGGATTCCTGAGCTGTGTTTATGTCAGTCACGTGTAGATATTCTGGAGCTTCACCTCCTGCTGACTTACCTCTGTTGACCAAGGAGAAAAGAAAGAGTCATCATTTGTTCTTTAAGGTCATGGTCCCTTCCAGTCTCAGGCCTTTGTTAGGTGCTAGGTGTTCCACCACACACTAGGTGACCATGGAAGGCGATGGGCAGGTTAACCTTAGTACTCAACTCACAAATGTGTACACACTCAGTGTACATCATTGTCAACAACAACAGTAAAAACCAGGCTTGAATAAGAATCCACCCTTAGATGACATTAAAAAAAGGTTAAAGGAGGAAATTTCATTCTGTGGCACTTTTTTGAAGGGGATGTCTGTAGAAAACAGGAAGTTCTATGTCCCCTCAGATGTGGGTGTTCATGCATGTTGGATGCCCCTGTTTAGCTCCATTTTCATTGCTGGGAGTTGTTCTGGGCACCTGCGAGTCTCCTTAGGAACCTTAGGTGTGTGTGTGTGTGTGTGTGTGTGTGTGTATAAAACAAAGTACCAAGCATGGAGTATTTGAAATTGTGCAATTTGATCAGCAGACATGAAGATGTGGCAGGCAGCACATCCACCTTCTTTGCTCCTTGAATGCCACTCTCACTTCCAGCTTGTTAGTCTCTCAGGGACCCAACTTCCTGCCTGATCAGCATCTTTCCCACAGTGTGGGTGTCACACTGCCTGTATAGCCTCTGCTCTTTCTCCCCTTCCACTTTCCCAAAGTGGGAACGGAGAGAGGGAGGCCAGCTCTTTCTTTCCTTTCCTCTACATTCTTGATATTTTTTCCTCTCCTAGTTAAGCTAGGAATAACTGGTTCACGAGGAATGCCTGAGCTGAAAGCTCAACTATGCTGACTCCTAGTTGTGTGACCTTAGGCAAGGATGCTTTGTGACTCTATTTCTGCCTAGGGTTGTTGTGCGGATTAAGTGAATCAAAACAGTGTTTTAAAGGAGGCCAGGTACATAAGCATGCATATAATATTAGCCTTATGTCCTCACCTAGCCACTCACTAATCCCACAGTCTGACTTTCGTTCCGTACTTTCTGAATGAACTACCCCATAGTTACCAGTAATCTGTCACCAACAGACCCAATAGCTTCTGTTACAAGCTTGGCAGTGAGTACCTTTATCTACTGAGCCATTTCCCCAGTCTCCCACCACCTTTTTGAGATTGGCCTCAAAACTCACGATCCTCCTGCCTCAGCCTCCTGCATACTAGGATTACAAGTATACAACGCCATTAAATTGTCTTTTAATTTTAAGCCATCTCTTTCCCTCTTTTTTCCCTGATATTATCACTCTGTTCTTCAAAACCTTTTAATCATTGCCTTACATGGAAGATGAAATTCCAAGACTCTTAACACCTTAGCCCAACTGTGAAGACATGCATCTCTGAAAAATCACCTTTCCGTAGTTAGCTCCCTACAGGCACCCTAATTCCCAGCCTGCCATGTGTAGAGATCTGTGCAACTGTGTCTTTCATTTAGTGAGCATCCTAGAGAGTTAGTGTACTGTCCCCTGGATGTCCTCATGCAGTCCAGGGCAGTCCTCCCAGGTGGGTGCTGGCTGGACTGCTGGCTGGCTGGGTTCAGAGTGATTTTCAGAGTGCTGGCATGAGCTTATTCTGCTCCTTTTGACATGTCTGGGATGTTATGGCAGACATGTCCATCAATCCCCTGCTTCCTATCTGAGCATGTGTGTCCTGAGACTATCCCAGTTAAAGTAACAAAGCTCTAACTAGGTCAAATTTCCAAATGATCTCTTCCACTTTGAGCCTTGCTCCCTGTGATCCTGCTATGATTAGGATGATCATTCCAGTCTCTCAAGGCCAGTAATGCAATTGTGTGGCCCCTTGTGGAAACGCAGAATGCAGAATGAGCTGCATACTTAGTGTTAAGGTTCAGATAGCCCCACCCCTCACCAACAGGGTCTCAAGGACTTCTCAAGCTCCTGAGAAAAGGGAACCGAGCTGATAAGCACCCTGGTCTTTGAAGCCAAGAGAAGCAGACTTTTCTCCGCTGTTTGGCCAACACAGCAGGCTTCCCCTTTGATCTCTAAAGAGGGCAGGTTTTAACAGTCCCGCTCTCCTGCTTCCCCTTGCCCAACTTTAAAAATAAAATATATCTTCCTGCCTTCTGCACCCCCCAGAAGCCTCCCCCTTAAAAAGGCCCTAGCTTATAACTGGGCCAGACATTTTCCCTGCCCAGAAGGGAGTGTGTCCCATGTGTTCCTTTGCTAATAAACTATTCCAATGGAGTTTTAGCTGTGTCCTGGTGCTTTCTCCTGATCAACTGGATTCATCCATAGGCTGCTTTATCTATCACTTAGAATTCCGGTATGCTATGTTTTTGCAATACAAACCACCTCATACAGAGCTAGTGGTTTGAAGCAAGATACAAGCCACCCACAAAACCCACCTGTACTTCTGTCTTCACTATGACACCACTGGTGCCCACTGTCCTGAGCTCATTAAACTCTACTGACACTATGATTCTTCTGAGTGGCCCTTACCATGTCTGTCAAGTGAAAAGGAACAGGACCTGCCTATGGTGGGTGTTCAGGAAATGTTGTAAATGAATGAACAGATGAGAACATGGAAGAATAGTGAACTTTTTAGCGAAGAAGAGTGAAACATACTTTGAACCGTCTGCTATGCTCAGGCCTGACTTGGAAGCAACAGGATGTTGCTTTGCTCTAAATGGAAGTTGTTTTCTGGTGGGTTTTCTATGCTGTCCGTGCCTGGGTTCAGATCACTGGAGCAGAATGAAGTGGTTTATACTGTAAAGATGCAGTATGCACAACTAAAGAGTTGATGTGTCTGTCCACAGTTCTGAGTGTGCTGGCGCCCAGTCAGTTGGATTCATTGCTTCCATGGTGCAAATGAATCACTGAGAGATTTTTACCACTGGGAAAGTAAAGCATATGGTGGAGATAAAAATAAGCCTGAATTTTGTTGCCTGGGCACATAGCCCTGCTCCCAGTTCATTGATTCATTTATGTTACAGATATTTGATTGGTATTGCTAGCTTTCTAAGGAGTACTCTATCAGCTTTAATGGAAACACAGACAGAAAACACTAAGGAGTTATGAGGCTTTACTCAGCAAGACATTTTGGTTCGATCGCACATGTTGATTACATATTTATGGCCTCTCTTGTCTCTTTTCCTCTTTTTCTTCCTCTAGGGATTCCAGACAAGGAGAATGTGAGTAGCTACGCTCTCTGCCTTCCTTCTAAAAACTGTCAAAAACAAAAAAATCACAGTAATCCTGCCAGCAAAGAAAGCTCTCAATTCATAGCAGAGCAATAAATATTTTTCTAATGTGATTGTGGTATCTCAGGTGAGTCATTTTAAAATGCCAAAGGGAGAAGGGTGACTGCTCTAACATGATTGTCACATGTCCTCGATGTTTAGTCCAAAGAGAAGTTCTTCTAGGGGTAAAGCATTCACTTGCTAAGTGTTTTTTTTTTCCCCCCAGGATGCATACATGTCAGTAGGACAAATTATTAATTTAGCAGCATGGAAAATACAGTTGCTTTTCTTTAGTGGGAATAGAAACTATGAAAGCCAGGTTATATCCAAATGCACTAAGGTCAGCATTTCTCTTTGGAAACTGAAAATGACTAATTACTATAATTGTTTTTTGAAATCAAATAGGCGCAAAGGCTTTAGACAGATCTTCCACCAACAGCGTTCAGTATGTGTGCTAAGGGTGGGAGTCTTTCAGGCAGATAATGATGATATCAAGTCTGTTAACTACACTCTGGGCTTAGGCAGCAACTCAGAGGGCTTAATGATGGAAATGTGTAGGGGTTAAGCCTAGTGATACTTGTTAGTACTCAGATGTATTGCCTTGCCATTACATCCTTGACTGCTGTACCTCAGTGGCAGTGTTACTAAGTTGTCACCCTTTTCTTTCTCTGATCTTTGTCCCACAACTGAGGGCAGATACACTGTCTTCATTAAGTTAAAATCATCTGGGTATCCCTTTTTAGAGAGCTGTCTCTTTCTCTAGGCCATCTTCTTCATAATGATGGTTTATAAGGAGCTGGCTGGGGATCCCACCCCTCTGCTAAACCAGTACAGATATCGGTCCTAGCCTTAGCAATGCCACTTTAAATGGCACATCAAAATTTTACCTCTGTTAGTTCAGCAAACCATTTCAGGGTCCATTTTGGGCCCTGTTTAAACTACTTGATTTGCCTAAACATCGTTATTCCATCTTTAAAATGTGAATGTTAGTCATAACTACTTTAAAAGGCCATTATGAATATGGAATAAGCCAGGTGCGGTGGTGCATGCCTTTGATCCCAGCACTCTGGAGGCAGAAGCAGGTGGATCTCTGTGAGTTCAAGGTCAGCCTGGTATACATAGTGAGTTCCAGGCTAGCTGAGGCTATGGGGAGATCCTGTCTCAAAAAGACCAAAATAAATAAATAAATGAATGAATATGGACTGAGATACTCTGAACAGCTTAGTGTGGGAACAGTAGAGCTCAGAAATGTTGGGACCATTATTGTAATTAGTATATTTTAAAGCCCTGTATCATTTTCTAGCTATTTTTTCACATCTGAAAAGTCTCTTACCCTTTGTAAAGTAATTGTCCTGTTGCATTTTAGGCTCTCCTTAAAATACTTTTCTTCAGTGAACCTTGCCATTGATCTTTTGCTGTTAAACAAAACCAAATAAAATTCTGTTTAGAAAGACTAGAGAATAGGCCTCATAAGATTCTAAAGCAACAGGCTTTAAAGTAGCAAACTGATCCTGCCACCAATTTGAATGTGGAGGCCCCAAAGCAACCATGCTCTAACAAATGGCCTGCAGATCATTAGCTAAATCAAGATAATAATATGGCCTTGAACTTCTTCATCAAGGACCAGCGGCTATAAGCAGAACACACAGAATGCCCAAGCCTTGGGGGTGGCTAAGATATTCTAAACTTCAAAAGGAAACTCCATTGCGCTTAGGTACTCTGTGACCTTTAGGTTGAGTCTCCCTGCAGTGGGACCACAGGCACAGGGCTCTAAGCAGAAGACCTAACAGCTGTCTTGTACTCACTTCTTGACACAATAGGAATTTGAAATTTGCGGAACCTCAGATAGAATGAGCTGTGAGCAGCATGTCTCCCTGAAAGATTTGGGGAACCGGGCAAACTGATTTCCCCAGTATTAGTAGTAGCATGTGTTTACTTGTGATGGGTTATTCCTGAGCATTCTCTAACAAACCAAAAAGCACACTTACTCTCTATTAGTAAGTAGAGTAGATATAATGACACCACATACAATTTGAAAAGAGCTCCACTGCTCAGTTAAATAGAGCAAATGAGATGAAAGACATTCATGAGTAGAGTTCAAGTTCTAGAAAGATAAAAAGAAGCCTAAGAGCCTTAAAGTGGGTGCTAATTGAAAATTTTTCCTTTAAAGGGACAAGTTGGGATGTCATGTTTTCTTTTATCCTTTCTCTTTTTTAGCTACATGCTGAGCAATATTGTATTCCCTTGTGTTCCTAAATAACAATATGCCTTTGGGATGGAATAAAAGTGCTTAGATTATTGTTTCAGTGTCTGAACAGATCCTTTGTAGAAAGAATATATTCTTCTCTCCAGCATTCACTCATAGTTTTGTTTGTAACCAGGCTTAACTGTTAATCAAATATGAGGGCATCAAATGTGTGTGTTTTGAAACACCTTGCCAGCTATGTTTTGTTTTCAGACTTGGCCTCATCTTGCATAAAAAGAATTTTCTTTTTATAAATTGCACTTTGGTAGAAACAAATGGGCTAGTAGTTAATTTGCTGAATTATTTTGCCTACTACTTACTATAACCGATAGGGACATCATTTGATGTTGGATGGACATGGGGCATTGGAACCTATAAAATGGTCAAGAGAAATACTAGAAAAATGACCATGGAGCCAGTAGAGCAATTGTACTATTTTCATAAAGCTGTGGTTATTTAGGGTTGTTGGTTTTATTAAGAAATTCCTCTATTTGAGCTGTATTTTTCTTCTCTTCTCTAGGTGCCAAACCTGGTTGACCATGTTTTAACAGTGAAGTTAAAACCCCAGTTACCAGCTTTATAGTTAATGTTATAGTTGATCTTTAAGGGAACTTTTGTGAGATTTTTGCCACCTGGGCAGAGTTTGTTGTTTACTGGACTCCATCCTTGAGGCTGGTAACTATTAGGGAGTTTGGTTGTTTTAGAAAGTTAACACTTCTTCATTGTGGAAGGAACCAGAGAACAGACTCAGGGCTCAGGGGGCTGTTACAAAATAATACCATTTCCTGGTTCACTAGCAGCTTCTTTCTAAAAGACCCACCCAAAGTCCTCTTCCAAGGTAGTTTCAGAGTTGATAGTACAATGGTGTGATGAATGGAGGAGAGCTTTCCCTTAGACCATTCAGAACAAGAGGCAACTCCCAAGAGCCAGCAGATCATGATGAACCTGGGAATGAGTGAGCCTGCAGGCCCTTCCGAGTGCCTCCAAAGCCTCTTGAGGGGATAAGGTTAAGTGAGAGATTCTCAAACTTTTAAAAATCCTGAGTCATGTCTATGAAGAATCATTTTTGGAAGTTACTTGGAATATTTAAGATTTTAAATGGTAATTGGTAAGGAAATAATTCACAGTTTGTGAACCATCTCGTAAAGAAGAGGGCAACAGGAAGTAGCTGCTAGAGTCGAAAGTTAGGTATTTAGCAATGTTCAGGGAATATGGTAACATTTATTTCTCTTTATTGCTGCTATTTTTCAAGATTAGAGAAAACGGACTGAAAAATTTTCCAACTATTAATTTACTACCTCTGTGAGATTCTGAAACAAATGAAGAGAAAAGAAATTGTGTATCTTCACCCAAACTTAACACATAAACATCTTAGGTAGTCCTAAAACTGGGCAAACCCTTTTAACCCCAGTTTTAGGATGCCTGCTGAATTCAAATAGTTTTCTGTAGAGCATATTCTTAAAATCATGCTTACAAAACATCCAGAGCCCATGAAGACATCCTGGCCTGGGGTCAAGGTTTGCCCTTAGCAGCTGTTTTTCTCTGTCCCAGGGTATGAGTGGTTTAACCAGCCCCTCAAATAGCGCCTAGGCAAGTCTAAAATGAATGTGTAACTGATATAAGGTGCAGAGCCCCAACAGGAGAACAAAACAACACAATGCTAAAGTCTTAGGAGATTCCGAGGCTACGTGTTCTGATTTTGAAGGACAAATTGCTTATCGCCAGAGTGAAGATTAGATTTAGCTGGGCTGTTCCTGGATCCTGTGACTTGTGTGGCATGTAAATACCATTTCCTAAATCAGCCTATCGGGAGGGGTGGCTCAGCCAACCAAGACTTTACCTAACCTTTTGGAAAACACCAGTGACTTAATGTCCAAGGTGCCAAAGACAACCTCAGCTCTCCAGCCTCTGAAGAAATGCTTGTTTTTGTATTTGTGAGTTATATGTTTTATGGGAGGAATGTCCTTGCTGGATTTCTTTCTGTTTTGCCTTCCCTTGGTTCCTCTGCTCTGTTATAAAAGTGGACTGTCCTATCTCTCTCTGTGACCCTCTCTAGTTGCATCAGTGACATGGTGGTTGGATTTTTAAGATGACATGTAGTTTGCTGTTCATCCAGATAGGAAACAATAGATGTAAGTAATACCCTAAAACCTGGATCCTTCTTCAATTAGACAAGGTGTTGATGGCACTTAAATGTTCTCCATATTGAGCCTGGGACCTTCTTGTGAGTTTGCGTTGTGAAAGAGTGTGTTTGGAGGTATATTGGGTGGTACCTCACTGTAATATTTAGAATTAATTTTATTATATTATGATTACATCTGATGGCTGTCTTTAATGTTTCTTCATGATTTTTAATATCTTTTTTGACATTGAACTTATGCATTGCTACCAGTTGATGCAGAACTTATATGCTGCTGATGGTTTTCAGTGCTTTAATAATTGAGTTATGCCATATAACTCTGCTTTGAATATGCTCTTTCAGTGAGTAGAATTTGACTTGGGCAGGAGATCACAGAGGCTCTATAGTGGAGTATTTGATTCTGGATAGCATTTGACACTGACAAAGGCATGGGCTCTCTCCTGTCTTTTAGCCAGCCCCATGCCTCTCCCTGTTCTCAGGTTAATAAATGGCCTGTAGACTGTGGAGAAGCAGCTCCACCGTTGGCAAGGGAGAAGAGTGTGATGTCATGTTAATGGTAAAGTGCTA